CCCCCAACTCCAGTCTCCTTATGAGTAGCTGTCATTTTACAGGGCCTGGAAGGAAAATCCTTCGAGGAAGGGGGAGGCCGATTTTAAAGCTATTTTCTGTGGAAAAGAGCAGTCAGAGTTGCCCCAGCTGCACCAGGTACAGGTTTATAGACCGCAGGTCCTCTAGTTGCCCTCTCTTTAGTGCCCCTTTCCTTACAAAGGAAAAAGCAAGCAACTTCCCAGCACAACACTTTGTCACTCTTCGGAGTGGAAAATTCTGAGCAAGACTCAGAACTCCACTAAACATATGGCGAATCTGGCAGCAGCTTTGCTCTGGAAATCAGGCCTCGTTTTATGACTGAAAAATACTAAAAGTTTTCCTTTCTTAACAGAAGAAAGGAAAAAAATAAGAAAGCAAAGATGTTTTCCTCAAAATCATTTGTTCAAATATGCTTGCTAGAAAGTTTGGCATCGATGTTTTATGAGGGCAAGGATTTCCTGATTGTGTGGCTTTTAGAGAGCAAAGAACCTCTAACCTGCAAGGAGGTTTGCAAGTGTTTCGTACTTTGTCCCTCTGCCTGCCTTACCCAGCAGCTTTGCTCCTTGATGGAGGGAAATCAGCCCAATAAAGGTCCAAGAATATTTTGAAACACAAGAAACTTTCAGTCTTTCAAGGGAAACCAGGGTGCAAAGGAGAATCACATCACACATTTCACATGCCAAGCTGTCCCACTTACACATATAAGGGGAATGTTTTCCCTTCCAGATGCCATGACGTGCAGTTATGGTACTTTCGCCACTGAGTACCAACATGAAGACATCCAATGTTTCATGTATTTGGCTTTTAATTTGTTTGCAGTCCCTGTGGTTGTATTTAAGAGGAATCTCCATGCTTTTTTTTTAAAAAAAATACTATTTTTATTTGTGCATGCCACTGTGTTCCTATTTAGAGTTTTGTCAGTCGGTCATGTGAGTTCAAGTGGTTCTGGCTAGCTTTGCTTTGTTTTGTTTTGTTTTTAGGAGACAGCTAATGCATGTTGAAGTTTATTTCACATATTTACCGGGGATAGCAAATATATGCCTTTGCTCCTGTCGGTTTTCTGCAAAATATCAGGCGGTGCCATTAAACAATTACACCACTGTGCATTTAGCTGGTAGGTATTGTAAATAAAGATTTGAAGAGAATTTGTGAGTAACAAAAGCACAAGTCACTAGGAAGGCAATAAAATTTCATACACCTTAGAAAAACGAGTATATGTTAGTATTTAAACGTGTACATGTATGTATGCGTGGATTATGTTGTGTTATGGGGAAGTAAGTGGTTTAACATACTTTCAGAAAGTAATTTTAATTTTAGAATCTGGAGCTCTGTTTCAAACTTCAAGTGGGTGTAGAATTTTTCAGCTGTGTCTGTGGAAGCTTGTATTTAACTTCCCTATATTAGAAGGAAGTCTCTATCGTTCATCTGACAGTTGAATGCCAGGTTTTCTTTTTTTCTTTTCTTTTTTTTTTTTTTGAGGCTTACTTGATTCTGAAGTAATTTTACGCATTACTCCTCCACAAACATCCTGGAAAATATGTACTGACGTCCATCATTTTTATCTTTTGATGAAAATAGAAATATTTAAAATACCAATGTGTGCCAATCGGCTTTATTAAGATTCCCATGATTGTTTTGTATAATACTCAGTCACTTATGTGTAAAGCATGTTGGAATTGTTGCATCACATGTAAGAGTCCTTACATTTTTGAGATAGTTAACAGATAGACAGGAGCCTCTGTTCCTCATGAAGAAACCAAAAGATTCCCTTTTCACAACTAATGGACGTGTGCAAAGAACATTAAATGTGTGTGAATGTTTGACCTCACTGTGATTGTGTTCACAGCTGCCAATCTTGACAGATTTGGGGGTTTGTATATTGTTTCCCCTTTATTTTCTCCAGTCAATGAAATGTGGTTATCTGTAATTTTCCTTCAGTTTATATCCATTCAGAAACTTGTAGCTTTATAAAAAGTCTTAATGTCTGCACAGAATGAGTCAATAGCTGTCTATTTCAGGTGCCCCGATGAGCTACATATTTATGGAATATTTAGCCTATTACCACACCCCCACTTCCTAGTGGGGTTATATAATGAAAGAATGCTGAAATCCAGCGAGAGTTGGTAGATTTACTGACAATATTTTTCTCTCAGTTAATGACATTGGTAATTCTTTGAAACTATAATGGCTTATTATTTTAATCATTATTAGTTTGCATAACATTTTGGAGCCATTTTTTCTGATAATTGGAAGGGTTTTTTTAAATCTCTTCTGCATAACTAATTCAAGGCAGGAGGGACTTAGCTGTTGAATCTTGGAAAAATGTATGTTTCATGGATGCAAAGTCATTTTGTAGCCTATTTTAGTCCTGATCAATAATACCTATCAACCTGAAAGCCATGTAATTTTGTGTAGTTTTTCATTGGCTCTGCAAATCCATATGCCAGAGATCCATGGACTTGTCATATATTCATGGGGAAAAATTTAAACACAAAGGATTTCTTACTGCTTCAGCTCATAGGTAGAGATGGTGTGTCAGTCCTTGGTTGTTCTGAGTTCCCAGGTGGGGAAAGTGCAGATTTAGTGCTGGAGCTGCCCAGGGATCTTCTGAAGTTGCCCATATCCAGATACTTGAGACAAACTCACAGTATCTGGCATTCAGGAAGGGATCCATTTGGGACACTTAGTCCCCAGATATGTCTGCCATTGGCTGCCCATCCCCTGATGAATTTGTCTAGCCATTTGCAGTCATGACCTAGCTTTTAAGAAGACAACATTGATATTTTTAACCTGGTATAGAGGAGAGCCAGCTGGAAATCAGCAGCACTAAGTGTTGGAGGTGGTGGTGTAAACAATATTCTCTTTGAACAATATTATTTTCTTTGAAAAAAAATCCCATAATTTCACTATTACCACAAATCTGTGATTCTCATAAGGCGTCTTTGTCACTAAAGTTTATAGATTTTGAATCCTTCTGAAATGAAGCAGAAGGATTTATTTGATAGCTTCGATGGTAGTGGGAGGTAAGGAGATTTTCATATGAGGGGTGCAAAAGAAAGGGCGCTACAGACTTTAAAGTTAGAAGGGAAAATATAATTACGCTAAAGAACAGTTTATGACTGTGCTCTGATTTACATTACACCGTGGTCAATACCTTTTTCCATGTCAATGGGAGCTCATTAAATGTAAATTCTGCAGCCCAACTGAGTTACACCATATTAGTGCTTGCCAAAGCTTGACATTTTTAATACATTAATAATATGTCTGTAATGTAATGGAAAACTATTAATCACAACTGGTTAGGTGCCAGAAATTTAAGCTGTAATTGGCTGCCTCTTGTCAAGAATGTCTGTCCCACAGTCCCGCAACTGCCTCATATTCAAATATCTTGCACCCCTCTGCATTTTTCCCTGTCAGTTCTCCAACTTCGATCAATGATGTAGTCCGTAATTTTGTGTAATGACCATCGTTACAGTTCTGGTAGACTATAATGAGAGTCCGCTGCCTTGGCAGTGCTGTCGTCAGGACGTGGTAACAGGTACATGCGTTTCCTTAGTGCCCACAGTTTCACGTAGCAATATATCAGATGAGGTCACTGAAGTAAAATAGGCATGAGAGCAGAGTAACAAAGAATAGGTGGTTGAAGGAACAGTGTTGGTTAAAAAGGGTGAAGAGTACTCTCCAGCATCATTTAAGACTGTATACTTGAAATGGTCTTTTAAAAACAATATTAGAAATTAACCAAGCCTTCCCTCAATTCAAACTTGAAGCCATGGGTTCCAGGTCTTTAAGATTATATTGTTCCTAATTTACAGATTGCTGGATTTTGAAACTAAAAAGGTGATGCTAATAATTTTGGAGCTAGAAGATTTTATACTACCTCATCTCGAATGCTCCTTTTCTTCACTTTCCAAAGTGTTTTCTTCCTGTATAGTAGATGTAGTAAATATAGTTGAAAATTGAGTCTGGGAAATGTACATTTCTTTCATCTTAATGCCTTTTCAGGTTATTAATCATCAATGTGTTGGCTGTTTCAGAGAACACCAACTTAATGAATCTAAAAACAAACAAACAAGCAAAAAGGCAGAAAAGCTTGTGTAACCACAATACATGCTCCAGGAATGTTTTTTTTTCTTTTCTTTTTCTTTCTTTTCTTTCCTCTTCTTTTGTTTTCATTCTAGCTTAAGATTTCCAAATGCATGCCAAGAACAGTGTCAAAGTCACAAAACAGTAGATGTAAATCTGTAGTTTACACATGTTTAGACACATTGCTAATTATTACTTCATGGAAACTCAAATATTCAACACTTTTCCTAATAGAAAATATCACAAATTGCAGCTGTATGATAACATTTTATGAATTGAATATAATGAAAATTGCACTTGCATCCATAAAGCAATTATTATAAATTACTTTGCTATGGAAACACAATTCAACCATCTGTTGGCATTTCATAGTCTCTGTGGCTTAGTTCATTTTAAGATGGTGCATTATTTAAATATAGTGCATTCCCTTTATAAAATTGCTTAAAGATAGCGAACTTCCTTATTTAAACTGTTTAATATGAATCGAAGAGTCTATAATGGAAGTTCCCAAAGCTATAGGTTTTTTTATTTTGTTTTTTTAACTAAAAAGTTGTTAATAATTTGAAATAGGATTATAAACCAAATAGCTAACAAAGTGTACTTTCACACCTGGGTTTCAAATGTTACCATTTGTTAGGATCTGAAGAGTTGAAAAGTTCCTAGTGGACCTCATCAGTGACTTGCATCTGTAAGTTATACAGTCTGCATTATCAGTTTACCCAAAGTGCATTGAAATGGAGATTTTTATTTTCTTTTAGAATTAGCGCCCTGTTATTCTGCTTCATGGCCTGTTAGCTCGCCCTCAGCTATTTTTATATGTGCATTTTAAACTGTGTGTTTTACTATGGAGCTTTCGCTTTTAAAGCACAACCTAATATCCACCTTTGGGACAGATTCTCTCCCGTTACAGAAGGTAGTCACAAATGCAGATAAGGTGGCTAGGAAAAAGATGCAGAAAGAAGATTCTTATGAAAGGAATATTTGCCCCCTTTGGTTTTATTTTTTTTTTTTGAGTACTTTCAGAGAACCCAATTATCTTTTTCAGTAAATGCAACTAAACAAAAGATGTTAAATTCTTCCAGTATAATGAGCAAATCCAGAGATAGGCTAGGCCAACAAGACCAGTTTTCACTCACCTGCCCCTAACAAAAGCTAAGAAATGTACAAGGAATTTGGAGAGTTTTAGGGTCTCTTTGCTAAAAGACGAAAAGCACCTAAGTCGTTGTCATTGCTATAAAGGCTCTCTTTGTCCCCATTGTTCTCCTGGAAAATCTATTAGCCAGCTATGAGGGCTGTTTAAATCCACAAGCTTTCTCTCTCTCAGTAGTTTAGATGGAAATAAAATTTTTGAAGCAAAAACCCGTTAACTCTCCTAGAACATTTTCATCTACCTTTCTTGTGGAAGAGTCAGATCTTTCATATTAAAATCCTCTCCAATATGGATGGGTACCCTGCTCATTCTATTAAGGCATCTAACTGAAGCTTTTCCATATTACACCAATTTGCTTTATATCACACCGAGCCTCCAAAATATCAATGTACCATACATTTCCTAATGCAGTGATTCCAGGGCAATAACTCTTACTCTTCTTGTTTTCATACAGGTGTTTGTGCCAGAAGAAAAAGAAAAATGATTGCTGGGAAGCAGATACAGAACCATAGACACTCATCCTTGTGCTTCAGATACTAATCCCTCATCGCACCTGAGCAGCCCCCGTGAGCCCTGAATCCCGAGGATCACTCAGGATTATCTGACATACAATGGGAGAGTCATCACTTTGCTAAATGATTATCTGCACCTGGACATCTTCCACAAACGTCTAATAGACATGTTCTACGAGGAGAAAAGGCTGCAAACTGTTAATGCCTAACTCAGATGCATGTTAGGCTTCCACCAAAGTCCTCAACGTACCCGACCACACTCAGTATCTCAGTCTCTCACGTTTGGTTTTGGAATCTGCTTTGAGACCTCAGAGTATTTTTTTTTAAATATACAGACCTACCTATATAAAGACACACACACATACAATATACTCATGCATATGTAAAGGAGACACTGACTGCAAATAAGACACGAAGACTGCCAAGATTTTAGAGATGTATTTGTCAAGATTCCTGTCGATCCATGCCCTGTGGGTTACAGTGTCCTCTGTGATGCAGCCCTACCCTTTAGTGTGGGGACATTATGATGTATGTAAAACTCAGATTTACACAGAAGAAGGGAAAGTTTGGGATTATATGGCCTGCCAGCCGGAATCCACGGACATGACAAAGTATCTGAAAGTGAAGCTGGATCCTCCGGATATTACCTGTGGAGACCCTCCAGAGGCATTCTGTGCAATGGTGAGGCGGTACTTTTGTGTAGAGTATTTCACATGAGGGGCATTCAAGTTCATGGGCAAGCAAAAGTGGCGAGTGTGAAGGCTCAGTTTGGCAGAGTCAAATTTGCAGGTGGCAGATACATGTTGAGAGGCTGGCATCATTCTCAGAGGAGGCTTGTCCTGTCTGGAGTTGCAATGCATCTGATGTGATTGATGTACCAGAACTTCCTGCTTGCTAGAAAGCCAAAAGTTTTCAATGACACAGGTGGAGTATGTATATAGTACAAAGCAAAAAGCCAAATTGATGGTCAAATTTTAGAATAGAAACTGAAGCGTTAGGTCAGCTGAATAATGTTAATGATGAAAACCCACGGGTAAACCGGTTTAAAGAAGGCACAGGTTTATTCTTACACATAGATGAAGCCAGGCTCAAATTCCCTAGTTCAAGATATTGAGATCTCCCGTTTCCTTTACCAGACAGCATCTCTGATAGGGGTTCCGCACTAAGGGACCCAGCAAGGTGGCAAGAAGGAAGGATGGTAGACTTTCTTAAAGGACTGTTCCAGAGGTCTTATTTGCCAACTCATGCATATCCTTACTATCAAGGCCTGCATTTCTGTGGGAAATTTGAAGGTGGATACTGAAGTGCTGCCAACATATTTGCTGAAGGCAATGGCCAGGGGGCATGTAAGTTTAGACAATAAAACGAGGAGTTATAACATTTGTTATTCTTGCGGTTTATTTGAGGCCTTTTCCAGGTGGAACATATCCTAGGAGGAAAGTAGTATTGGAGGAACATGTTGCATTTCCAACTAACATCGCAGCAGAAAATACTCCCTGCAAGGTGCTAATAAACAGATGGGTGATTAATAGGGTGTCTGTTAATGTGGTAAGGAAATGAGACAGTGTGTCCATTGGGTTTATGTTGTTGGTTTTTTTTATTGTAGGCAGTCTTTATTTGATGTAAGAACCGTGACCCCATTTTAATCCACATAACAGATATAACCATGCGGCAGGTTTTAATAGTATCTTACCTGACTTTATTATCTTGAACTTGGCCTGGCATTTTCAGGCTAGTGAAACTATTAATCAAAGCAGCGTCTGCTCGCAGTCCCCAGTGAGTCAAATTAACATAAGATTGTCTCAGGCGGGGCACTGTGAAAATGGTTTTGCAGCAGGAAACAATTTTGAGCAATAAAGAGTGTTTTCACCTAAAAGCTAAGGGCTTGCCATTTGTCAGACGTGCATTTGGGGACTGCTTTGAATTATAGTCTAAACCTGACTTGGTGGAGGGTGAGAGAAAGATCTTGGCTATTAGGTGTCACTATGGCTAAAGTGCCCCAAATGACTAAATATGTCAAAGAGAGAGCCCATCTCTCAGGGTAACAGGTTTGTGCTTCCGAAAGAAGTTGCGTTCTGCTGCAAACCGCGGGCTTTCAGCAAGGTTTATTCAAACGTATCAGTAAAACTCCAATAAATCTGTAAAAGAGCAGGGGCATTTGTCGGCCTTATATGAAGTCTTTAGTAATTCCCTGTGAAAGGTCAAATTTAAAATTTCATTGCAAATGTGGTGTGAAATTACTGTTTGCTTATAGGTTACCGAAGCTCCAGAGCCTGCGTTCTGGGCCAGACTTTCTTATCAAGAGCACTCCAGCCCTATCTGTTGGTCTCTGTGACACGTGGAACAATATGCCTCTTCTGGAATTGCTTAATAATTTACAGATGGAAGGGAAATACCGCATGTCCTTTGCCAGGGTGCAGTTTCTGCTCACACAGGTGCTCCAGGATGCCTTCAAGGTGTGGTTTGTGTGTGCTGCTTCCCCGAACTCACCTTTGGCTAGAGAACACTGGCTCAGCATCTCTCCTGCCCGATGTGTCCAGCATCTCCATACCTGTTCAGCATACCTGTTTCTCCCAAAAGAAGCAAGAAAGGGCACATGACAGAACTTTACAGGCTAGCTTTTCACAGGGACATGGTCTAAGGTCCTTAATTAAGTAAGCTAATTCCTATTAAGTTATTGGCTAAATGATGGTAAAGTACCCTGAGAAAAGAGAATTAAGGGTCTATTCCTAGGTTGGCCCTAAATGCAACTGTGTGACACACCTGTGTTCTACAGGAAGCCCCATCCAGGCTGCACTGTAGTGCAATGCCTACTCTAAAACACTGGTAGACTTTAACATGTCACTGGGCAGGGTGTAAGATTTCTGAGTTACCTATCAGTCATTAATTTGTATTCCTTAATGTGCATATGATTGGCATAGCAGATTTAATAATCTCCTTTAAATGTGAACTTTGGGACTATTAGTATGCATATTATATGCCAAGTTGGTGATAATGGCCCCAGTACAGCAAAACTTCCCTTCTGTAGCTGTGGATTTTCTCTAAAACGCCTTAGTGTAAGAGTTCTTGACACCGGCTGTAAAAGCATCGCGGGATGCTGTCATATCAGGTCTGCTGAGGAGCTCCTTAGCCCAAAGTCTAATGGGAATCCATAAAGTCACTTACGCTAGGACTTATGGGTTCTACGCTCCCTGACTCTCATTTCCATTTCGGCTCCTCCAGAGTCATTATGGCCTATTACATCACCGGAGCTGCCAAATAGACACAACCACTACTTAGCCCCTATATGTAAATGTTTACTGTAAGATGGCTTTGCCTCCTCAGCTAGGAACACTCTTATTGGTAATGACTCCAGGGAATCTGAACATAGAGAATACATTCAGTCATAGAAATATTCTCTAATGCCCAGAGTTAATGTTGTTAACATGAGTGGAGGTTCATTGGTATTGCACTGAAAATCTATGGTGCTGCCTTCTGTATTTTCTCTGTCAGTGTATGCCCATGACTACCCGTGAATGTTGCATTTATTTTAATGTGGAGTGAATTAGGAGGGGAAAAACAGCTTACGGTTCCATTTAATAACAGATCTCTGCTTACTAACTTGGATGCCCTATCTATGTCAAATCTTCTATGTCGAGTAATTTAAAATGGTTATACATTAATCATGTAAACACCATGAACAATAGTTTACTAGGAAAAAATTGCCTATAATAATGTAATAGAGGCTACATATGACTATAGAGCATGTGTGTGTGTGAATATCGTATATGTAGGTATGTGAGCGTATTATTTATTTGGAAAATTATTTGTTTTCTTTTTAGTATGGTACATCCCTTTACAAATTGACAGTGCCTAAAATTGAGCCTGTTTTTGTTATTGGGAGAAAACATGCAAGGCACCGGACTGGCTGCCTTTGCTTTTGCAGCTGAGGCAACCTATTTGTGTCGCTACTGTCCTTTCAGCCATCATACAAGCTTCAGGTGGCATGCCTCTGTCAGAGGACACAGGTCATCCAGTGACAATGGTTTAATTTGCATAAGGAGCAGATAGGATGATCTGATCCTGTGTGTCACTGAAGTGACAACACCGAGCTCTGACTTGGTCTTTGTGTTTAAATAAACATAGCTGTCAAGTCCCCCATGACAACACCCCGGTGGCTTAAAAATGGAAAAAATTATCTGCAATTATCTCCAGCTCACAGCTAATGCTCTGTATAACTTCAACAGAAACATTGAAAAGGAGCCTCGAGATGAAAGCAGCCATGCACATTTGTACAATTTATGGGGCAGAAGTGCTGATGACTGTAGAAATAGGAGCCCTCGCGTGCCGCCGTGGATTTCAGAGCCAGTCAAACCCAAATGAGAAAACAAAGATTATTAAAAAGTCTTTTGTGCATGTAATTTTGGCATAATGTTATGAGGTGGACATTAAATGTTTACCATGGAGAGTTTCAGCATCATTAATGTGGTATGCCTTTAATTACCAGCACACTCGTATGACTAAAAAATGGAGGAAATAAAGTCCTCCGAGGTGTACTTAGCGATACCCTCATTATGTTTACTGGAATAATTAAAAGAAAGAGCATAATTTTTCTAAATAAAATGTCAGACCTTGAAATGGAAATGGATTTTCTTGAGAAAATTTACTAATGTGTGCCTGTACTCTCGATAGGCATTCCTTCAAGGACCCTACCAGGTCTGTAAGTGTTCATTCAACATTGTGCGGTTTCTATTAAAAAGAAAATAGTTAGTGTAAGCCTTATGGATATAACATATTTCATTAGAGCCAAATGTAATTTATAAAGTAACAGGGAACTTTTATATTTTGTGATTTCAGATGAACCTGTGGGGCAAATAGTTGACAATGTAGAGACTTCAAGGCCACACTTGGCTTAAATTTCTTATTTGACAAAATCTTGGGTTTCCTTCTGGTGGCCATCAGGTGGCCTTTGAGAAATTAGTATGATAAACTCAATTACATTTTTTTCAATGACAAGGGATTAATATTAATTTTCCAAAACCTGGAAGTGACATTGATTTACAGAATAAATTAATAGTCTTAAAAAATGGACTCTGTTCCCATGAATCAGAATTTGATAAGTGAATGAAGTTTTAATACCAGTGACATCTTTCATTTGAACTGATTTACCCCTTAAATTATGGCAAGATGGAGTCTTAAGAAAACTTCTGGTTTTCCATTGTTAACACTTCTTTGTTAGCGGTTCATTATTTAGACTTATTTCTCAGAGATGACTAATTTACACTGAAATGATTATGTGAGTGATTTATCACCTTGTTGAGGAACCTCTTGTTGAGTAGCTCACACAGCTCCATTTTATCTAGGGTATCAAGTCTAAAGTGCTCTACCTGCCTCATCACTCTGGCTAAACACAGTCTACCAGTACCTTCCATTAGGTATCTCTGACCTGCTTAAGCCTAGCAACCTGATAGGAAAGGAACTCCTGCACTTCAGTTGAAACTGCACTGGTTTGGTAGAGTTAGCATTGGTTTAGAGATATGGAGGAGGTCATGAGAAGGAGATGATAGCATTTATAGCCTGGACAACAAAATTAAATTAGTGCAACCCACGTTATTTATTGTTACCTAATTGCATTTTCTTTTCAGAGAAATTAAATTTATTTATTTTTATCATTGGTATTGTTAGTGAGCACATGGACACAC